CTATTCGCGATGTCTGGATTGCACATAATCCTGCTGGATTTGCTTTTGTTGAGTTTTACGAAGAGAGGGATGGTAAGTGAATTGTACTCTTTAGCTATTTAAATTGAACAGAAATGTGCAGCTTTTCTGTTCAGCTTTTCTGTTACTTGAATCTACAAAATTGCTGGCTGGAGGCCAGTCTTACAGGTTCTAATGCCACGTATCAGAGCTACTTTAGCCAGCGAGTTATGTCTAATTGTATAATGCCCCCTCCTCCCTCCTTCCCCCTCTTGTCTCTCATCTCCAATAAGTAGCCCCCTTAGTAATGCCATTCTAATTACCAAGTGTCTAACGCGAATCGTCTTCATATAATATGTTGCAATTCTATTAAAGTATTAAAATCGGCTGCTTATTTTCCTAAAGATATGGCAAGGAATTGTGGTTCAGAGCACATTGTTATGTAATGCATTAGTGCACTTTTAATAAAACAATTGCCAGTGGATTAAGTGGCTCTAAGTATCTAACACTCTGTGACTATTATTTATATTCCTTTGTCCTTAAAACAATTATAGTCTGATCTGTAACCCCCCCCCCCCCCCCCTCTGAGTACTTAAGAGCTTTTGCTCTAGCAAATCTCTTGCAGTTCTCTTGTAATTGTAAATATTATTGCTATGTATGCCATCATGTAAGAGATACCGTATAATTACTATTTTAACCAGGGAGCTTGAGCATGATATTAAGATGAGTGCAGAGTAGAGCCTGGGAGCTTGAGTATTTGCCATGGATGCAGAGTAGAGTAGTAACACCTTGTATAACCTCAAGTATTTAGAAAAGTAAGCCCTGCTGCACAAATTATTTGAGATAGTTTTATATCTGTCCAGTATGGGTCGTAGGTACTACTTTGAAATCTGTTTAGTGTATTTCTTACTAAATGTATATAGTGTTTATTTATCTATTCTATCAGCCACACTGCTAGTAATAGTATAATATGGTATATGAGAGATATTATCCAATCTTATGACGGGAGAGTGATTAGGACTAGTAGTCACAAACCCACTAAAGCACTAATGGTTTGCCCGGTATATTTAATGATTCTCATATTCAATGATAGATGTGTTTCCGCTAATGGACAATAGCTTCAAACATATTTAAACATCTCACACGTGATGCCCAAATAAGGTATTATATACCTACTTAAATATCGGACTTACTAAGTCACTTAGATAAATGTTCATGTTGTGTTGTTAACGTGCCATCTACTTGGTCTCGCGATTAATTGCTTTGCCGGCAATCATTATTAGTCGTGCTAGAGGGAGTTGACAGTGTGGTTTTGTGCTTCGTATTATAATGGAGGTGTTTTTGTAGTGATGGTGTTTTTTTGTTAGATATTTTCGCTATAAGTTGTCGAAATTTATTTTAACGGACATTAATTGGACGCTGGAGGTCCTAACGTTCATTCTGTCCGTTCAAATAAAGTCCAACAAGGTAGTAAAATTAAATACATTAAATGAATGCCTTCGAGCGTTCATTTTAATGTCTGTTAAAAATTATGTCCGTTTACACAATGTCCGTTCAAATAACGTCTAATAAGGTAAGTTGTAATTATACTAGTCAGATGGCACCTTTAAAGGTTTGTAACTTTAACTAAAGAATAGCTTCAGCTAGTTAATCAAACAAAGAATTACCAGCGTATACCTTGACTCGTATCTACACACTACTAATCTACACCCGGCATTTAACTTTAACCATGTGGTCTATTAAACGCCCCTTAACACACACCACGTGACCACGTTATTAACACGTGATCTATGATTTCAATCAGCGGAAGATTTGGTATATTTTTACCATTCGCAAGCACATTTCGTGAAGCAATGACTCCTAGTCCTAGCACTCATTTGTGCGTACCGCTCCATCACAAGCATACATATAACACATTTTTAAACAATTTAATACGATGCAATTCAAGTCCAATTTTACAGCCGCACATTTGCTTGATTAGTCTTTCTGGAAGGTTAATCGTTGTTCTCACTGTTTAAGTTGTGCAGATCGCTCATATCCATAGTTGCGCTTTTTTAAATCAAATTTATTGTTTTGTTATATTGTAAGATACTTGTATTTCCGAGATTGTGTAAGTTATTAGTTAGAAATCGGTGACAGCATGATAAGTTTATTGTCATGTTATTATTTCATATTCATTTTTATGCAAAAGCTTGCAGTTGTTCGGACAGAGTAAATCTGAATTCAATGTTGTGTTTTCATCAAAATAAAATCGTTTTTCAGTAGTCGAAGATTTTTTGTTTTCCCAACATACTGCTAGTCGAAATAGTGACAAACAACATGTTCGTTTTGGTTTAAAAGCTTTTTCGAATAGACTAAGTCCGTCGAGTTAAGGAACAGTCAAGTAATGGGATGAACTATGAATATTAGTAATATTATAACACTATAAGTAATATTATAACACTATAAGTAATATTAACACTATTAAGTAATATTATAACACTAATCTAAGCACACCTCATTAATTGTAGCTACTAGCAGTGCTGTGGAACGGCGTGACATTAATAAATTCAGAGGACACATTTAATATGTGTTGCCAACGTACGAAATAACACAAACTTATCTTCCATCATTCGCTCAAGTTATCTTCCATCATTTACTCAAGTTATCTTCTATCGCTTGAAAAGTTAAAAACAGCTTATGCAGTCATATTTGGTTACTATGGTTATAATGGTTACTATGGTAACTTTATAGAATATTACAGGATGAAGAAACCAGCGGGAACAGTATTTCTCCGTGGACCTATGGGTGAGTTTGCAGCTGACAAGCCTGAGAAACCCTTCCTAACCTCCTTAGCCAGGCCCATGCCGGGACCCTCCAACTACAACCCCGCTAAAATCAAGACCGGTGCAGGAGAGTGGAGTATAGTTGGGAAGCCTAAAGACCTGCCTGTTTCAGCTGGACCCCCACCCACCCGGTACAGGACGGACACAGATCTCTCCTGGAAAGACAAGACTATCTCTCTGAAGCAGCAGGGTAAGACCTGTCCTCTGGGTCCCCGGTCTGATGTGCATGTTACAGCCAGCAAGGGCCCAAACGCGTACAACGTGAAGTACGGAAATGTTGGACATCTTTCCCAGAAGTACTCTATTGGAGCTCGAACTGACGTAACAGCGATCCTGCATACCAAGGGAAGAAACATCCCTGGACCCAGTTACCTGGCTCCAGATGACCGATCAAACAGCTTCTCCCTAGGGATGCCAATACCTATTCCTAGCGAGACATGGGGACCCGGGCCCGCGGGCTACGAACCTCCGCAATCAATCAGGGGTGTGAACGCTCCTCTCCCAGCTAAAGTAGACAACGAACTAGCCAGCTCCACTGACATCACCCTCCCAAGGTTCTTTGGCTGGAATGTGGGCTACACCCCCTTCAGGAAGATTAATGTGGAGGACAGTCCGGGACCTATGTACGATATCGGGACCACCATGGGTGAAGGGCAGTCTAAAAGTGTGGCCTGGAGACAAAACTTCCACATTACAAAGGAAGGGAAGGTGCCTGCCTGGCCTGCCAGCAACAGGAGGGCTCCTGCTCCAGGGTCGTATAACCCTCGGTTCTCCGACAAGCCCAGCATCCCCAAACAGACGATGGCACACACAACCATCTCACCTACTGACCCCGGGGAACCGGGTCCAAACAAGTATAAGAAAGAGAAAGATGAGTTTTCAAACACAGCTTACTCTTTCGGAGCCAAGGGAAAGCCGACGTACCCTGTGATTCTGAATTACGTTGAACACTCTATTGCAGCTGACATCCCCGCACCTCATAAATTCTGTGGACCCTCAAACTTCTCAAAGAACAGCGGTCCCAAGTCGGTTATCTCTCTGCCACTTAAAAGACCCGCTAATACCATCCCCGGACCTAACAGGTACCGGCCAGAGTTAACCAAAATAAAGGGCCCCCAGTACAGTATCTCCTCTAAAATAACAAAGAGCGATGATAACGGTATCCCAGGTCCCGGATCGTACAACACAGTCAGTTCTAAGCCTGAGACACCTCTCTTCAAGCTCACTGGAAGGCCCAAAGTCAGGAAAGCAGAAGCAACCCCCGGTCCTAACGCGTACAACATTGCAAAGCCAAGCACTAAACCCAAGGGTAAGGGTGCTACACTGAAGGGTAGGCCCTCGCCCTTTGTTTACTCAGGTTTTAAGGACACATCAAGAGTCTCTACTCTCGCTTCGTGATCAATTAGTGATTTAAATTTGAATTTCTACAGACATTCAGACAATAGACAAGGAATGATAAATTTGAAAATTTGTGAAGATATTTACGTACAGTATAATTAGTATCTGCAAACGATTTATTTTGAATTTCCAGATTTGAAAGCAATAGACTTTAAACTATGATAAATTATTAAGTCATTTTTGAAAACATCATTAATGTAATTCACACTAAATTTTAAATAATTTACTTATTTAATATTCAATTACGACTTATTGATCAATCACAAATTCAGTCGGAGCAGGGAAAAAGCCCGTTTAAAAATTGTTTTGAAAACCAATCAGGAGCCAAAAATCCCAAAATCGCACATTAAAGATGTCAATACAATTTTACGTTTTTTGTGTTAGAGCAACGACCAGTTGTTACCAATTTATTCTTTTAGATGCTTTTTATAAATTTGGGGGTTAACGGAGAGTCAATCACCTTTACAATTACGTCTGGTTGTAAAGTGGTAAGTTTTTGGTTTTTGGAAACTTTAATAAAGCAGATAAGACACAATTATCTCTAATTATCTCTAATTATCTCTACCAATAATTCAATTCATTAAAATATTTTCAGTAGCGCTGGAAAAGATTAAATAAATAAATATTTAATGTAATTGGTTTTAAAACTAGAACGACAAGATATTGGCAATTATCAATTATCTAATTATATAATCGCTCTGCAAGGGTTGAACAGATAATCTGATCAGTGTCAGGAAAATTGATAAGCCGTGATATAACAAGTGAAAATTGCACAATTTTATCATCTTATGTTGCTAACACCCAACATTTGAATATTTGATCCAATGACACAAATCGAATTATTCTCCAATCGCAAAATTCTTAACGGCTGTTTTGTGTACTTTTTTGTTTTCGTTCGTGAGGTTCTGAAAATTTGAGTAAAATCTTATTTGATCGTGATGAAGAAATGCATCTTTTTCTACTTACTCTTTATCATGGTGAGTGATGAAGATTTGCATCTTGTTTTATTTACTCTTTGTCATGGTGAGTGATGAAGATTTGCATCTTGTTTTATTTACTCTTTGTAAAGGTGAGTGATGAAGATTTGCATCTTGTTTTATTTACTCTTTGTAAAGGTGAGTGATGAAGATTTGCATCTTGTTTTATTTACTCTTTGTAAAGGTGAGTGATGAAGAGTTGCATCTTGTTCGGACCAATTGTATGTAACACTACGATCAGTCAGTCTGAGACCTCTGAGTAATTGGAGTGTTACATAAGTAAAGTGTCAGTCCCCCTCCCCCACTCCCATCGTCCGATTAAGTCGCAAAATCGAAACCTTGGCTCTCTCCTCTATTTAGCTGATGGACGTAATTTATGGATGACCCCTTACATACGATGTCTTACACAAGAACGGATTTCCAAACATGCATAAACCGATATTTCAGGGACTAGCCACTGAAATCCACAACTCTGAGTTTGAAGAGGCTGAGGTAGACGACATCTACATAATTGGGTGTGACCCAGGTTATGTGACAAACCCTGATAACACGTGCTCTCAGTGTACTCCAGGAACGTATGTAACCACTGACAGTAACCATAGTAACCGTCAGCACTGTGGGTTGTGCCCGTATGACACCTACAGTGGCGTGGGGGCTACAGAGTGCAGTGTGTGCGGTGAGGGGCTCGGGACTTTACAAATTGCATCCACTTCGGCAGCTGATTGTGTTGGTATGTTGTTATTAAGTTTGTTTTTCTAAATTATTAATTTTTGAATATTAAAACAAAAATTGTATTTTTAATTTGACGGAGCTGTTGTGTTTGGCCACATGATAAAAGCAATAGTAACCATAGTAACCATACTCATAGTAACAATATTAACCATAGTAACCATAGAAACTACACCATCTCAGCGGTATGCAGGATACCCAAAATGCACAATGTTGCCCGCATTACCCCCGGATCACGCGTCCCTGAAGGAGGAGATGTAGAAATGATTTGTTCTGAAGGATATTACTATGGTAACGCTGGTAGTGCGACTATTTCTTGCATTAGTTCTACCAACAACTTCCCTGCTTCCTGTAGAAGTAAGTTAATTATCGTTTTCATTAAAATATGTTGGAAATATGGATGCTGATGAAGTGCGATGAAATTTAATTGAAATCAGCTTTTTTTTAAAGTGATCGTTATGGATACATGTTTGATTTAAGTAATAATGAAGTAAGTAATGATAATATAAAACAGTATACATTTATTTTGCGACATGTTGATAAATAAAAATGCACCAGTTAAATTTTGAACCTATCAAAGTCTAATTTTAAGTTATACATATATGTTTGTTGTCGTTGTTTTATAACTTATGAACAGTAAACTTTCTCAAAATCATGTCAGTACTCGACGCTATTTTATAATCCGTTTGTCACGTCTAGTCACCACATTATTTTCAGAATTATCGATATCGGCCAGTGCTCCGTCCGTCAAAGCAGGAACCACAGCAACCCTCACATGTACAGTCGAGGCGAGTGATGTTGGTAACCATAGTAACAACCATTTTGGTATCTATTGGATACACCCCACAAATAGTGATACCCTTAAATACACCACAACAACAACCATGGCACCAATGCCTCTAGAGGATGGTGTTACCATGGTGACCACTTCCACTTTGAGTATCTCCAGGTTTAACTCAGGAGATGCTGGCTTGCATTCTTGCCGTGTGGTTTATGATGAACCTATCCGGGACGAACACTCTGCCGAACTATATTTGGGCATAGGTAATGGTTAACTTTAAGTTAAGGTAATTGTACTAAACACATTAATTAGCTAGAAATAATTATTTTTGTGCAAATTGTTGTCTTCATTGAAAATCAATCATGAGTGTAAAGTGTTGCACATTTATAAGTAAGAATCTCATTAAGATTGATATTATATGTTTTTTGATATAATTTAAAAAAAAACCAAAAGTGTCATGAAAAAATAATTTAATAAATAAATGGTTAACTATGATTGAATATACAGAAAACGGCGAAGGGCCCATGATGTAATACAACTTTGACTGTAATAAGTTTCCATGTGATGCCCATATAAAGAGATAATGGCTAAAATAACTTGCTTTCAGTTGATTTAGTGATGGCTCCTGCGGTCAAACAATTTGTTTCTGCTGGCGAAGACTTGGAAATCTACTGTACAATGAACACAGATGAACACTACGCTTACAGATTAATCACATGGCAACTTAACAACGGAGATAACGTTTGTAATTCTATAATTTTTAATCAATTAGAATTATAAAAAGAATAATTTCGTGCTGTGACGTCCTGAACCCTCGACTCAGTATTCTTCAAAACAACGCTTAACCCCAACATATTACAACTTATTAAAACTCAACACAGCTTATCACAACTCATCACAACCTATCACAACCTATCACAACTTATCACAACTTATGTCACAACCTATCATAGCTTATCACAACTTATCACAACTTAACACAACTTATCGCAACTTATCACAACTTATCACAACTTATCACAACTTACCACAACTTATCACAACTTATCACAACTTATCACAACTCATCACAGCTTATCACAACTTATCACAACTTATCACAACTTATCACAACTTATCACAACTTATTTCAATTTATCAGAACTATCTACAGATATACTCGGGAGTGACCACATTTACCTCTGACTCAGTTCATAACAGTATACTGACCCTCTCAAACACAACGCTAACAGACTCTGGAACCTACACCTGTACAGCTAAATACATACATGATGGGTCTGATCACGTGTCCTTTAGTGAGAGTGTGGATGTTATTGTGAGGGGGTTTGAGGTTCATCCTGCCGACCAGATAGCAGAGGTCGGATCAGGCATTACGATTAGTTGTGCGGTTGTTGGCGAACAGCCAGCTGAAATTTCATGGTAACATTGTAATTTGTATGTTATAGTATATGATATATTACAATGATATAGCACCTCTGATTCTTACATATCGCTTACATTTACTCGTTACCCGATGTTAGTAAACTAAATATGGCTATTACTATCACATTTCCTTTCAGTCCGATTTTGCATGATGAATAAGATACGTTTAAATTCATTTCCAATATAACCAAATGATAACCTCAAACCCAACAAGTCTGTTATTTCTAATCAATCAAACCACAAACTAATACGTCTGCAGTATGATATTAAATACTGTAAAACTGTTAATTTGTGCTAGGGATTTATTGTCCTGATTATTTTAGAGCATATAAGTACGTGGAATTTTATGTCACGAAATCGATTGTTTGAAACTCATCTCTCCATTGGACCATTTAAATTCGCAAAAATTATTTTTATAAAACCTCGAAAATATTCATTTACACAGTAAACTGACTATTTTTTGCAGGACCAACTCAGGAATAAGCACCACCTCAACCGTACACTCTGCAGTAAAGGAGCACACTAACAGGACTTGGATAACATCCAGCACACTTACACTCACTAACGTGGTGTCAGGTCATAGCGGAGGTTATGAGTGTTCAGCTGATTTTGGAGGAGTTGCTTTGGAGAGTACTTCTGCAACACTTATTGTTAAAGGTAATACATGTTACCTTTACACGTGTTACACGTGTTACTAACACGTGTTTCTTTTCAGTTTCAATAGTCTTATGATACTGTTCGTAAATTAAAGGTCGATTAAATTAACCAAATATTTAATTGTTCGCCCACATTACCCGTTCCTTATTTTTCAGATTTTGGTATCGCTGAAAACCCAACAAGTAAAACGTATCTGGCGGGTGATGAAGCAGTACTTACCTGCACTGTAAAGAATACAGATGTTCCTCCTGGTACAATCCGGTGGTACAAGCAGACAGGCGGGGACAATGATATGGTCGATGATACGAGGGTGAACTTTGATGGTGGCAGTCCCGTGGGAACCTCCACTTTTACTGTTAGATCGTAAGTCTATTTTTAGATCGTAAGTCTATTTTATAATCAGTTCTGTTTTGGAAGGAGCTGATAAAAGGGGTTTCAACCACGGGCCAGTCCCCAATCAAAAAGACTAAATCAATTAACTCTCTATAATTCATTAATTAATTAAGTCTCGATAATGCATTAGTTAATTAACTCTCAATAATGCAGAGTTAGGAGTGAAGATGCGGGAGAGTACTTTTGTGAAGCGGTCTATGTTATCTCCGATGTGCTGGTTGTCCGGAGGAGCCTCCCCGCTCTACTTCAAATAGGTTTACAATTTAATTAAGTTATATCACTATCAGTAATCAGTATTAACCTGCAGTACGAATCGAATCTTTTAATCCAAAATTTAGGAAAGGATCTAAATTCAATGGTTGATTCAAAGTTGAACTGAAAGATTGCAAGTTGATCGTGTTATTTTTGTCAGGGTGTGAAGATAGACACAAGAATTGCAGTAAGAAGCTGGGTGGAAAGAAAAAGATACGTAAGAAATGTAAAAAGTCAGCTTGGATCCGATCCTGTCCGCTTACCTGTGGTTTCTGCAAAATGTGACTTGTTAATTAAGCTATTAGTTTTACACCAATTATTGTTATATCAGGAGTTTATCGGGAATAGCTTAAAATGATATTTTAATTCCACTTTTGAAGCATCGTATATTATATTTGCCATAATATCTTCATAAATTGTAATTCGCTTTTTATATAACATAAATTTTGGCGATACTTTTGATAGCTAAGTAATTCAATGTAAAGTAAACAGAATATAAAATTTTCCTGTTTGGGTAGAAACTGTGTTTATCTTTTAAAATAAAGCTTCTCAATAGATTCCCTTCCAATTTGTTTCCAATCAGATACAAAATTTGATAAGGCCTCTACTGCATGATGGGCAAGTTACCACAAAAGAAATTTGAGTCTATTATAATATATAAGCTAAATTTGGCGGTTTTTACTGAAATTTTGACCAGTGACCAATAAGTGAGGTAGGTGAGAGTGACACAAGTCGCCATCAAGGTACTGGAAGCAGTATTTCCGGAGAAAACTTTGATGCAATGAAAAGTTTGAATATGTCCTACCGGTAGGACATAATATTCTAATTTGGGCTTTCCGCGACCCAAATTTCACTGTTTTGACTGAATTTTTTCTTGAATAACAACAGTACTCACACCACGTGACACAAACCAATCAATCAAAACACAGCATTCATACCACATGTCACAAACCAACCAATCAGAGCACAATACTCATACCACGTGACACAAAGCAACCAATCAGGACACAGCATTCATACCACGTGACACAAACCAACCAATCAGGACACAGCATTCCTACCACGTTACACAAACCAACCAATCAGGACACAGCATTCACACCACGTGACAAAAACCAACCAATCAGGTCACAGCATTCACACCACGTGACACAAACCAACCAATCAGACAACCTCCTGAGCTGAGATTGATTAGTATTGAATAACCAGGGTGGCTGATCATATAAGTTAAACTAACACTATAACGTATTTATAAAACAGTAGTTTGACCATTCTAGCTAAAACTTAAAATGATCGACCTGTATTTTGACTTTTGAAATTTCTTTTCGATTAAAATTGATACGCAAATGCTCAGCATGAAATGAAATAACTTAAGAAACAACAAAAACAATATGAAAGCAAAAATCTTATTTCATTACTCGGTTTTAACGCTATTTTACGTTACCAGACTTAATTTTTGTCAAATCAATTATAAAGGTGTCTGCTAACTCACTATCAACCAGACATAAAACGAAATCAGAAAAACGTCAATAGCGGCAGCGTCGTTTCAGGGTCACCCTGGTTAATCTCACAGAACTATCAAAATTAAGGAATTAGATCAAATTAATTAATTAATTAATCAATTAGATCAAAATAAAAGATGTTATCCTGGAGGATAATATTAAAGAAGATAACGCAACTTTAAAGTCAAGGAACTAAACTTAAAGTGAAATTAAAATCAGATCTGACTTTAAGAAGACTGGATCGACCGCTCTGGTTGAAAACTAATTGCAAATTTAAATGATCTTTTTAAAGAATCGACATCGTCTCATTTCTTCTCAAAGTCAGATAATAAATTGTCTGCTTAGAATTAAGTAGATTAGATTAATTTAAAAATGAAATTGAAAACCTAAAAGCGTCCTCAGGGAGAGAGTTTGCGATTAAAATTAATGTGTGACAGGGATAAAATTGCTCCTTCAGCAACAAAAGCATTAAGTCCGCATCCCAACATAACCTACAGAGTTTTTATTAGCCAGCAGGTCGGGCATGCAGCCAGCAGGTCTGGCATACAGCCAACAGGTCGGGCATGCAGCAAACAGGTCTGGCATATAGCCAAGTCTGGCATACAGCCAACAGGTCTGGTATGCAGCCAACAGGTCTAGCATGCATCCAAAATGTCGGGCATATAGCCAGCAGGGCTGGCTTACAGCCAACAGGTCTGGCATACATCATATCGTGGTGTAAACACAAAACAAAAACCAGCAATCAAAAGTCAATAAACAACCAGAATAAATATTTATTAGCATTTACAATTTACATCTGATCGGTAAGTACTTATTAAAAACAATGTCCTAAAGTCAAATATACAGATCTGAAAGGGGTGGGGACAAGGAGGTTATCAAGGAGGTTATCACAGCTTCTCCACCAGAATTTAACCGCTTTAATCCGGAAGTTTTCCGGAAATTAACCAGCTTTTAACCGAAATTCAACTGGTTTCTTGCGGAACTTTCGGATCTCAGCCGGTTTTAATAGAAGGTGAGCCGTAGGTAATCAGGATCACCTTATATGGGTATCACGTGGACGTCTTGCGGAGTGGAGCTAAAACTTCTCCGCTTTGAACCGGAAACCAAATTTGTTACAATAGGTGTTTATAACCTGAGCCAGGATTGGTGATCCGCAGAAGAACACTGTCACCTGAAAATGAGAACGGATAATTGTTTTAATTTCGGTTTTAATGCGATTAAATTAATTTAATTTAATTTGATTGATGATGGTATATTTATAATTATATGGTTCGCTCTGAATGATTTTCATAGCAAGATTAAAAATTGTATTTTATAATATCGAGCTGAATTTGTAGCGGTATACATATTTTAGTGCTGCCTGTTTCAATTCTTATAGTTATATCAGAATAAATTCTCGTATCTCGTAATATTATAGTCTATAGAGCTGGTACTTATTTCATTATTCTAGCAGACACTGTCGGAAAGGTTTGAAATAGTATTACATTTAATAGCTAAATCAATAAATATTAATTAGTTATTACTAATACTAGTCTACTGGTCTACATTAACTGAAAGTACAGATTTACACACGAACCTTTCCCTTTTTATTCTTGTTCAGCTCCGTGAAAACTTCTTTCCAATCGGGTCTCCCTGCTTTTGTTCGTGCCTGGTAGTAATTATTTAATTAATTTAATTAATTAATAATCATTGGAAATGACTTCAATAATTAACAAATAAGTAAAATTTCAGACAGTATCCCCTTATATGGATTTTGATATACTTAGAAGGAGTAAATGGAAGATATTGAGTTCGCTCATGACTCAAAAATAAAGCGTGTCACTTGTAAAATAGCGTGTCACGTGTAATTTGCAATTCATAATTATAATTCACTGACCTTCAGCCCTGTTATCACATCTTTATTACTTTTTTCGTGCATCAACTCCAGAGCCATTTGCAGACCCACAGCTTTTACGTCACTTTTCCTCAACGCCGAGGTCATATACATGTGGAGGTCAAGGAAAGAAGCATCTGGATTATCGTCAACTGGAGGATAGTCATTGGTCTCAGCAGGCTAAAGTGCCACGTATTCACAAAATGTTAACTAAGAAAGTTTTAAAAAGTACTGCAGAGTTAGATGAGAAGTATTGTACATTGTACATTGTACATTGTACATTGTACAATGTACATTGTACATTGTATAGCAAACAATGATATTTAACCGTACCAACTGATATCTCCTTGGCATCTGTCTCCAGCTGCGTCATCAGCTTCAAGAACCACTCAAACGAGTGCTGGTCCCGGTTGATCCAGAAGAAATCCACCTTCTTTATTTTGAAAGCTCCGTCGTTTTCAGGAGGAACCCAGCGGTGTCCGCACTCCGGACACTTCTGGTTGGTAAGCTGGTACTTGTGGACTATTGTTTGTAGTATTGAGGCATAGGGGGTCACTCCTGTAGAGGTTTGTAGGTTTATAACCTATCAAGACTCGTACCGTGTTGTACGAGCTTCACCTGTGCGCGCCGTTAAGTCACCATGGTAACCAGTAAGTAGAACTAGAGGTATGCGGATTTTTAAACCAAATGTAACTGATGACAATTCAGTCTGTAAACACATCACTTTCTTAAAGGTTAAAATCGGGAAATCATAGATAAATATAAAGTACGTGCTGCAGGACTGATAATTTAAGTAGCAGCACTAATGGGAAGACTTAGGAAATATAACAAATATTGGACATCGCAGATTTCTAAACTTGTAAACTTATACTGATACCTGGTTTGGTATAGCTGAGCAAATACAAAGCCTACTAACCTATGCCAGCAGCAATAAGGACGGCGTGCTCAGCAAATACAAAGCCTACTAACCTATGCCAGGAGCAATAAATCAATAAGTACGGAGTGCTCAGCAAAAAAAAGCCTACTAACCTATGCCAGTAGCAATAACTCAATAAGGACGGCGTGCTCAGCAAATACAAAGCCTACTAACCTATGCCAGTAGCAATAAGGATGGCGTGCTCAGCAAATACAAAGCCTACTAACTTACTAACCTATGCCAGTAGCAATAAATCAATAAGTACGGAGTGCTCAGCAAAAAAAAGCCTACTAACCTATGCCAGTAGCAATAACTCAATAAGGACGGCGTGCTCAGCAAATACAAAGCCTACTAACCTATGCCAGTAGCAATAAGGATGGCGTGCTCAGCAAATACAAAGCCTACTAACCTATGCCAGCAGCAATAAGGACGGCGTGCTCGGACTCGAATATGTCCACAGCGGGTGCTCCGTAGGGTCCGTCAATGAACACTTCGATCTGCTTCCAATCCGAGCAACTGTTTATTGAACTGTGTGCACTCAGCTGTTTGTCGTACTCTGTCAACCTGTGATGAAGAACCACGTGATGCCCATATAAGGGGATAATGAGTCTGATCATTCATACTTACAAAACTGTCAAATGAACCGTCGTAAATTACTCGAAATTCGTCATCGTCCCAAATTGCTAACTGTAACACTTACTTATTTAACATATTTTATAATTTAACTTGTTTCTATTGATTTAATGATATCATTTAGTCCTCCAGCGTCCACATAATGTCCGTCCAAATAAAGTCTGATGAGGTTTTACATAAAAATTACTTTTATTATATAGGAATCATAAGAACAAGATGAACAAGAAACCGTGGTAACCTTGATAGTCGTAATAAACGTATTAACCGTAGTAACCGTAGTAACCGTAGTAACCGTAGTAACCGTAGTAATCGTAGTAACCGTAGTAACTGTGGTAACCGTGGTAACCGTGGTAACCGTGGTAACCGTCATGGTAACCGTCATGGTAACTTACCCGACATGTGATGTATCGTTAAGATGATTGTTACTGTCCCCGAGTGCTAACACTGACTTGCCATTAATATACTCCAGTTTATCTTCCTCCACGTGATCGTGTCTTACTTTTACATAGTCGTAGAGTTTGTTGGTCCAGTTACCTACTGCCCTGAAGTAATAAAGTAATGATAATATATGATATCAAATGTTGGAATAGTTCGCTGTTTATTAGTCTTATGATGGATAATATCTGGTTGAATAATACTTTCAACACTACTATATAACAAATAATTTGACGCCGAAAATTTGCCTACATTCCTTTCTTCCTGTTTCATTTGTCCTTGTCTCTTTCAACCGGATATTATCCAATTATCAGCTTATCAGTATAATATATTATGATAATGATATATTATGATGTGTAATAATATGATAATAATATATTATTACATATAATGACATATAATGATATATAATAATGTATAATTGTAATAACAATAAAAAGGATGACAACACTTTAGTACAATTACTCTCATGAGTTGATATTAAATTATATCGGTTAAATTCAGAAAATTTGATAGTTGGAAACAAAGTGGCATTATATAAATCAATTTCTAAAAGAAATTTAGAAAATGTTGGAAATCTATTATATGAAATTGTTCGACTTCGAGTAACTAATACCCAGTACTTTACCTAACGTGAAGGGATAGTGGATATTTTCCCTCCGCTGATGATGAAATAGTGAATGGATGCCATTCGTATCTTGCTATTTTTGGTATATTTACAAAAATGTAGTCTCCTGCATTAAACCGAAAACCTTTCGGTCGTCCAATCTCGATATGTACTACCTGCAGAGGATTAAATATACTATCAGGTTTTAAAAAATTTTAAACCCAGGTCTCATGAAGTAAATTATATTGAAACCGAGACAAACATTTATAAAGTTGTATTGAAAATCTTAAAGGACTAAATCACTCAAAAACATAGTCACTTGAAACTATACGTTACATTAATTAACAATCAAAAGCTAAAGCTTAATCTTCATACCCTTAATAAATAATTTACTTTAATAATAATCAAATCATTTAATATAATCTGTATACCCTTGACGGGAGAATATTAGCGTCGTTAACGTAAGTGTGCCCGTAGTAGGACAGCGTGAATATCCTCGATTTCCTCACAAACTCCACAATAAATATAAGAGCTGGGATAGTGGCCCACATGAAGAAGGATTTGGAGTGGAAGAAGAGAAGAGCTGCGTACGGGATGTACAGCATATGGGAGAAGTAAAACACCTGAAAGTTAAGTAAAATCAGAAATAGCACACGTTACATGGGTAATATTGTTTTGTCATGACCCATTAATTTATCTCGAAACTAAGCCAGGAAATTCTAAAAAAATACAATTATGGACCCAACAATCAGCTTTATTTCTTGATTACAATAACGCCTATTTTATCAACTTCTGTAAACCCTTCCATTGTAGCATCACAAGATTATAGGTCTATGTTAAAATAATACAATCAAGGGATATAATATTTATATAAAGGAGATACAAAACCACGTGATGCCTATATAAGGAGATATAGGATCACGTGATGCCCATATAAAGAGATATAGAACCACGTGATGCCCATATAAGGAGATATAGGATCACGTGATTTATAATATTGCTGATAACACTAACTTGGAAGTATCCTTCTCTCCGCACGTATGGATGTGAGCAGAGCGCCATCGTTATGCTGATTAGTACTAACAGGGCACCTGGACGGAGGGTAAGTTAGTATTATTATTAATTAAGTATTGTTATTAATTGATAATAATATTTTAATATGCCAGTTAAGAGTTTTTCTCCTTTTCCATATTAACCACGAAATAAAGAAACATAAAACGAGATTAAAAGAAGAAATAGCTCTTACCAGTAGCATAGGCAGTCCCAAACCATCCCAAAGTGGCTGTATCATCGTGTATCCAGAACAACTTGACAAGATACTGATAACCTTTGGACGTACCTCCTGGAGTATAGCGTATAATTAGTTGATAGTTAATTGTTTGTTTAATAGTTTTATTTGTTAGTTATTTTTGTCATATATTTTAAAACTCTGCCAATAAATAGTGGGTTACGTCATCGTGTTAGCTTGATATTTGCTGTTAAAATGTCAGAAAAACAGCTTTTATAGTACTGAAGACTGGTGGGCGGTGGCTTGCACAACCCATCACAGGATATAGGGGCAAACCACGTGATTCCCATATAAGGAGATTGCCAATCTTGTTTTACTTTAATAATATCGATTAAAAGTCTAACTTTGCCGCCTGATATCATTTTGATGAGTATCCAGTGTTCATAAAACCAAAGTGCCAACCTCAAACTTGAACACAGTAACTGATTTAATCGCACAATTTGATGGTTAACGAATGATCTAATAGTAATATTAGATGTTATTAACCAGTTTTCTGTGCACTGAGTCAGTAAATGGTGATCTCGCATACAATACTGCACTTTTAGGGTACTAAGATTACAATAAATTTACTCGAGACAAAGCTTAGTGTAGTTCGAGCAAAGTGATAACAGAATAACATAACAATAAAATAGTATTATAAATAAATTAATTAACTTACCCAAATAAAAAAGATGGGCTACTGTGTGTATCGCACTTAGAATCAAACAGAAAACTCCTATTGCTTTATGGAAGTCTATAGCTTGGTCCAAAGCTAAAAATTTTGATAAAGGTGTTGCTCTTATCTTCGTTAGTAGATACCGAGACATCGTTAGAAATAATAGCACCCTGAAAACAGATTTCTGGATCAATAAAATAAAGTGGATGTTTTGATATACGTTTTTAGATTATTGTTATTCAGTTACAGCAATACATGAGACAAGATGTTTGGATTACATTTAATCAGAATTGATTCAGACTTCAGAGTCCAAAGATTGAGAAACTATTAAAAGTTTATGGACACGTTCATTGAAGTTTGAGGATATTGGTAAATTTCTAAAATAGCGTTTTCGACGATAGTGGCTTAATTTTAGAATCTATTAATCTAGCATGTTCATAAGTTCTGAACATTAGCCACGTGACCCATACTCCCATATGCACCGCTCAGAAATAAAATGTATTGCTTTTAGGCACTATAATGTAAAAAATGTCACATTTTTGTGACATTGTTTACCATAGCTGCCCGATCAGCATTTTTTGGTCTAAAATATAGTAGATTAGGTCAATATAACAATTATGATTCAACATTGGTTAAAGGGCAGTGATCGAACGGCTTTAAGGCAATATTTCGTAAACTTTGTCACACTCAGAATACGAGACCTCTTTTCTACTGTGAGGTGTCCTCAAAACCCTTTCAACTCATTATTTGATGGTTCTTCTGCCAATCATAGCCCTAAAATATGTTGTTTTAAAAAGTTAACAAATATATACACTTGGTTATTGGGAAATGATGTAAATTCTGTCACATAATATGGAATTTGATATATAATCATTTATATCTGATTTTGGTTCGGAAGGCGGGAAAACTCTATATAAGGACGATACACGGATACAGTTGATTCAAGTATAGGGCAGTTGATGTAAACATCGTCACAAAATGATACGACATCGTAAATAGGTCACATTTTGCGGGGAATCTCTATATAAGGACGATACAGGGACACAGTTGATTCAAGTATAGGGCAGTTGATGTAAACATCGTCACAAAATGATAAGACATCATAAATAGGTTACATTTTGCGGGGAATCTCTATATAAGGACGATACACGGATACAGTTGATTCAAGTATAGGGCAGTTGATGAAACATCGTCACAAAATGATACGACATCATAATAGGTTAAATTTGGAAACAATGATTATAGAATGAAATAGTCTGTGATTAACATAATATTACGTACATTATAAAATGGGCAGGGGTTTTTAAATTTCCTCTGTATTAATCTTTTCATACTGTAATTAGGACTGTTCACGTGCCCCTATTTTGAAGAACCATACCTCAGTTAAAATTCAATTTTCTTCCAGGAATTATTGGTTGATTATTGTTCAGCAAATTAGAACTCAAGTTTAACAATGCTGAGTTTAATTTTACTAAGTTACTGAAATGTGACGAAATTCACTTTTTCTGCCACAACAGTATTATTTCAATGTGATGAAAAATTGGCATGGGTTTCTACATTTCTTGTATAAATCCATTCCAACTATAATAAGGACTATTGATATGAAAGAAAATGTATCTAAATTTTAAAATGACGTATGTGACGAAATTTACATTTTTTGCCCCCTATTTTGAAGAATCATACCTCGATTATGATATAATGTTACTTTATCACCATATTACCTATGTCGATAAACTAGTTATTTTGCCAACAAATAGCAAATAAAGTTATCATATTTTTTTGTGACGAAATTTACAAATTTTTACCCTGTTCAGGTGTTGAAATTTGTCCAATGTTAACATATCACTGCCATATAATAATTTATATGACCGGCGTATGGTTGAAATATTGTTAATTGATCCATAGTACGTAATATAGGGTGTTTAAGTTGGTATACTAATATTTACTCAATTTCACACATGTTGAGATATCATACAAATTTATGTGACTAAATTTACCTATTTCTGCCTTCTGTATTTGTATTTGCCTATAACAATGAAATATGTGAACAATTCCAAACACATTCAGCTCACAAAATAATGCTAGATTATTCGGCATTTCTTGTCAGGATGTCATAAACATCCCTCATATAAATTTCTTAAATGTGTGACGGAGTTTACATGATGCTACCATTTAACGTAAAAAGTCGCTAAATATGTAGATAATAGTCATATGCAACTATCCTATAAATTGGAAATTCGAAAATTTGGTCAAACACGGCAACAAGGGGTCCATATAAACTCTGTCACGTTTTTATAGTGTGACAAAGTTTACAACTCACTGCCGGCCGCATTTAAGCGATATCTTATCGTCTGATAAAGATATCGTTATGCGACAAAGTTTATCTAGAGGATGAAACGATTATCCTAACCATGAAGGGTTTATATAGTGTCATAGTGTGACACATTTTACATCATCGTGCCATTCAGTAGGGTCACTAATATTTACCAATATCCTCAAACTTCAATGAACGTGTCCTTATATAAAACTTGAAAAGGTTTTAATTAGCAATACTCACACACAAAGGTTTATCATTTTCCCTGTTCCCTTAGCAATCATCAGGGCCAGGCTCTCCCCGTTTAACCAGGCTCCGACAAAGAACAAGACAACCATTATGGTCACTAACACTGTCATATTTGATACCAGGGCCATGTTGTTCACCAAAAACCTGCGTTGGAGTTATCTCAATCTGTTATACAACGAGGGAAATGATCTGCCCGTTAATGAAATACGTATTGTTATATTAAGAGAGTTATGAAACTAAAAGAAGGTTACAATATTCTATTTTGAAATAAAAAGAAATTGAACTCACGATTTTGAGAAGAAGCTGAGGTATTTCTGAATGAAAGCTCTGAACCAATTAGCTGGGGGAGGCGGGGGTTTCAGCCAATTAGAAGCACTGAAATATTATTTTAGTGATATTAGTAATATTTATAATATAGTAGCACAGTTCTGTCCACTTTGATCAAGTTTAAAATGGGATTTGGCCTTTGGGTTCTTAAGGTCTCGGGAGACATTTTTGGCTTGTGATAATGAATCGATTTTTTGCTGTATTGCACAACTTTTAGTAACAAGTTTCGATGTTTAACAAATTTTTAACGGCTCCGATTATTCTTGCAAGTGAAGCATCGCAAAATTAAACCCAATTTCAACCGGAAATTCGGGCATTTGTTTCCCAATTACTGATCAAACACGAACATTAGTCTTGTGAAGTGGCCGCCAGATAAGACTATTTAACTCACGATCATTTGCATAGCAGAGAATATTTTGAGAAAATAGATAAATTTAATGCAATACTTCACTGATAAAGTAATATACTAATATAACACGTGAAGATCAAAGTAAATCCAGTTGCTCGCACAATTAATTGATTGATACGTATGTCCCTTCATGATGATGGATTATAATTGATCTTCCGAGAGCCAAAAACCGTGCTGGATCCGTACAACCGTGTGTATCAAGATTCAACAACTACTCTAACCTGATTGTTAAGTTCTCAATGACTCCCGGATGCTTGAGAAGCTCGTCGTGGAGCTCCTCGAAGGTAATGGAGCCGCTCTGATCGGCGTCAGCAGATTCGAACAGGGTCTGGGTTAGCTCGTCCAATGTTTCTTCACTCAGCTCTGCCAAGGTAACATTTTTCAATTATAATTGTAACATGTTCTATAGGCGATGAATAATTAATCATTAATCGTTGGTAGATCATGTAAAAAGAGGGAAAACATGAGATTGAGTCATTTATTGTTTAAAAACAAATCATTTTGCCGTGCAGTTGAAAAATAAGGGCCTAGCAATGAATACAAGTTGTTGACCATTAAGCTTACCCAATTTGCTTTCGTCCATACATGATCTGAGGACTATTTTTAACTCGTCTGGATCTATCGTTCCGTTACCTGGTGGAAAATAAGGCTTAGGAATTTCCACTATTTTAATTTGACGCTCACCTCAGTGGAACCACGTAATGAACATTTGAACAAAGTGTTGTTTAGCAGCGTGGATTTGTGTGTTGATCTTACAGTTTGGTAACACTAACTCTTTAGTCTTTCCCGACTGCAGCTATCGTCCTTGTGGGTATTTTACTATCTGGAAAGTTTCAAGAAAATCGTATTGTAGGATCTTGAGACATATGCCTTGGTACCATCCTACAACTTTACCGGGCGGCGATAACCCAGGTAACCTACAACTTTGAGCTGGTACATTGGCACACAATACAACTTTTCTGTACTTCTTCGCTTTACAATGGTTACAAAGTTATAATAGTGCACGGTAAATCACCTGAGTATTAGATGTTGGGCACATGGGATAAACTATGAATTATCGAGAATGTCTCCGTCCAAATTGCAATTATTCCGACTATTAACGCCGACGCTACCAGATATTTGGAAGCGTTTAATTTTGTTTTCTAAAGAACAATGTGATACCCATATAAGGAGATATAAAACCACGTGATACCCATATAAGGAGATACCCAGCTAGATAGGAGTTATTATAACTCAGAGTTATATCAGGACAACCCTCAGAAAGAGACAGAGAAGTGTGAAAGAATGATGATCAGTTTGCTAAAAATAGATTAGTTGGTATTATTATCAGGTGAATTCTTTAAGCACTCCTAACCGCAGACGGGATTGTTAATTATTGCTTAGCTCATTGGTAGAAATCTTACTCTTGGCTGGAAAATTACTAATAAGTCATTTTCTTATTAGGCCCCTTCCAGCCATTGCCACCTGCCACCTAATTTGGCAGGTTTTACATTAAGACTGATAATCAATTTGAAGTCTTAAAATGATTCCTGCAAAATTAACCGAAAACCTGCCTATTTATCGTATTCGTGCAGAGATTTATCTCACGTAATTATTTAATCGAGTTGTTGATTTATAGAAAAGCCTGCAAAATTAACACAAAACCTGCCTCACCTTTCACCTACTCTCGGCAGGTTTGCTCTATTTTGGCAGGTTTTCCGTTAAATATAAAGTCGAATGCTGCAGATTTAACGCAAATCCTGCGTAAGTTGAGATAATTTGAATCAACTTGTGGCGTGATTAAACCTATATTGGCAGGGGTTTTGGATAATTTGAGTGTACAATGTGGAATACTGTAATGATCGTATAACCTTATTACTAGGTAGGGTGTAGGACTGAGACTTGGTTTGTGCAAAGCTACAGAAGTACAGAATGCTACATGCCTACATGGCTCTATAGTTTATACTTTTATACATGCAGTCACTAGTCAGTGGCGAAACGACCGCCCGACACTCCGGCAACCCCTGCTATGCGGAAGGGGATGGGGGGGGTGCAGCTGCGGCCTCTTAGGTACGTTTCGCCACTGCATATTATCCACTGTTACCAACACGGGGTCTATGATAAGTTTGAGTATAAAAGTACAGGGTGGGCCAAAAGTCAGTGTGCAAACGTTGGCCTTAATAGCTCAGTCACTGAGTGCCCAATTGAAATACTTCCTTCTGGTATGACTTAGTACCACCACTGGTTCGAGGAATTTGTCAACTCGAAAAATATTCGCGTTCATTTTTTTCAAATGGAGGTTCATTTTCACATTTTTTTGATAGTTTGGATAATCGGATCAAGCTAAATGTTATTGAATTGTGTTTGGCCATTCGAATTACGTTTGCCCTGAAAGAATGAGAGTTCTAGCTTCTCAGATGACCGAGATATGAAGCATAACAAGCTTGTTCATTACGTGTGATCAGGTGATTGGTTTACCTAATCACGTGATAAGGTGACCCCGTTAACTACCCCGTTAAACATTATGGGAATTGTTAAGGGTGTCCAATTAAGGTGTCGTGTCACGGTGTCACATAATCACCCAGTCAATTTGTTAACGAGATACACAAAATGCTTGTTAACTTCGTCATTTCTAATCCGTTTTGCCTCATTTTTTCAGATCATATGCAACATTTGATAATCTACCGTCTCTAAAAAAATTAGGCGTTCAGGATTTTCAGAGAAAACAATATAGGAGTTTTAATATTGAATGGGCGTGGTCTAAAATATTCGAATTTTCAAATTTTGACGACGGAATCCTCGAACCAGTAAGTACAGTATGCCATCTGCAAAGCAACAGCTCTCAAATATAAAACTCAGCGGAGGTACAGGGTGGGCCAAAAGTCAGTGTGCAAACGTTGGGTCTTATACCTCCGCCGTGTTTTATATTTGAGGGTTGTTGCTTTGCAGATGGTTTACTGTACCTACTGGTTCGAGGATTCCGTCACCAAAATTTGAAAATTCGAATATTTTAGACCACGCCCATTCAATATTAAAACACTTGTATTGTTCTCCCCGAACATGCTAGATGTCTAATTTTTTCAGAGACGGTAGATTATTAAATGTTGCATATGATCTGAAAATATGAGGCAAAACGGATTAGAAATGACGAAGTTATCAAGCATTTTCTGTATCTCGTTAACAAAATTGACTGGGTGATTATGTGACACCGCGACACGACACCTTAATTGGGCAGCCTTCACGATTCCCATAATGTTTAACGTGGTGGTTAACGGGGTCACCTAATCACGTGATTAGGTAAACCAATCACCTGATCACACGTAATGAATAACCTCGTTAAGGTTCATATCTCGGTCATCTGAGAAGCTAGAACTCTCATTTTTTCAGGGCAAACGTAATTTAAATGGCCAAACACAATTCAATAAAATTTGGCTCGATCCGACTATCCAAACTATCAAATAAATGCGAAAATGAACCTTCTTTTGAAAAAAATGAACACAAATATGTTTCGATTTGACAAATTTCTCGAACCAGTGGTGGTAGTAAGTCATACCAGAACAAATTATTTCAATTGGGCACTCAGTGACTGAGCTATTAAGGCCAACGTTTGCACACTGACTTTTGGCCCACCCTGTATAAGACCCAACGTTTGCACACTGACTTTTGGCCCACCCTGTATAAAAACCGATTATTGGAAAATAACTGTTTGCTTAACTTCAGTTCTTAGGTTGCCATTTTTAGATTAGATTGCTATGTTCTTAAGTAGTGAGGACAGCACTTTTTCAGTTGCAACTTGCAGTGCCTCTACCTGTTCATTGTTCACATTGTAAGATTTAGTGAATGAAGTGATTCTGAAAGAATCTTCAATTACAATTAATATAATAGTTCTAAATATGCAGTTATTTTCAGATTATGAGATATTTGATCGGAAATTTGTCACACGTTAAAGTGACACTTAATAAGTTGGACCTTAATCGAAATTCGTATTCACGAATTGGAAATAGCTCGTACTATAATTTATAGGTTGACCTCCCACATATGCTCTAAGTGGGAGGTCAACCTATAACTCAAATTATTGCTATTTACCAATATTAATTGATCACTGATGTGGCACTTTCAGCGGAAAATTAGTAATAGAAAGCGGACAAACCAGTTTTGGTGAAGGATGTATATCTTATACTCTTATAGTAGTTGTACACTGTACAGCAATGCTAAGGTAATGAGGTAATGCTGTAATGGGACTACTGCGGACCCTCTACCGGCCAAACATATTATCTCATTATTGAAGGGTGTAGACTGTAATATAGATGTAAGAACTTGCTAAATTGGGAGGTGACTGTTTTAAAATGATCAGATGCTTGCTTACTAACTTATTAAGAATGAGAGGTGATAGTGATTTACTTTATCTTGACAGGACAGTTAAGTATTTAAGCTTAAGAAACCACGTGGAGCTAAACGGTGCAAGTGATATAATACTTGAAAATTGACCCCCCACCCCCCCCCCCCCCCCCCCGACAATTGACCAAACAAATATATTTATTATACTAACCCTAACAGTAACCCGATTGGGCGACATCTGTCCGACAGCGACATCTGTCCGACAGCCGAATTGGGGATTTCGGACAGATTTCGCTGTCGGACAGGAGTCGTTTTTGGCGACATCTGTCCGAATTTCGGATCATATTGTAATTTCGGTTCACATTCGTATTTCACAAACTCACGGGTAATTTCGTGACGTTGCTCCCATTGTTCGAATGCTGATTTGATCCATTGAGATCTGATCCATCGATACGTGATTGACTATTTAAGGACAGGATTGTGCTAGCCGTACACTAACAAGCTGTCGATCACATCACAGGACACAGCCTACATGAGTACATATAAGATAGCAGCCGTATGGAGATCAGTTATCGCAATCCACAATGGCAACCAATCTTCAGTAAACAGACCCAGATCTGCAGCAAACAGACCCGAGAGATTTGGAAACGCTATCCATTCCTGCAAACTAAATCCTCTCTACAGACAACAGTCCAATGATGCTCTGGGACTCTGGATGGGACGAACAGACTCGTCAATCATTCCTTTGGGGGACTCCTAAGAACGCAGATCATATGGTGGACGCGGAGCATTGCGTAGTCAACGCCCAACGGTACCTTCAAATCCGCACCTAATCTCTTCCATCAGCTCTTCACAGTCCACGGACTCTTCCCTGACGGCTGGCACCTCCCCCTCTTCTAAGGACTCATTCCTGGAAAATCGACGACCCTCTACCGCAACATGTTCGAGGAGATAGACACCTGGGCTTCTGAGGCCTTGGGGCTACCAACCACAATACATTCTCATGGACTACGAGCTCGCCATTCACAACGCAGTTGCTTCATGCCTGCCTGCCTAGGTCGAAAATAAACTAGTAGTACACTATGGCTCAGATCATATCTCAAATTGGCAATGTTACGTATTCAAATTAACAGTTCAGATCACGTCTCTAATTGGAAATGTGTTGTATTGAAATCAGATCACAATTTCGGACAAATGTCGTTTTTTCTGGTACCCTGAGTCGGACAGATGTCGCTGTCGGACAGATGTCGCTGACAGGAGTCGTGTTACCCAGTAACCCTAACCCTGACCCTAACCCTGACCCTGACCCTGACCCTAACCCTAACCCTAACCCTAACCCTGACCCTGACCCTAACCCTGACCTTAACCCTGACCCTAACCCTGACCCTAACCCTGACCCTAACCCTGACCCTAACCCTGACCCTAACCCTGACCCTAACCCTGACCCCAACCCTGACCCTAACCCTGACCCTAACCCTGAATTGACCCCAGTGTAATTACATGGGGGGTCAATTGTCGGGGGTAGATTGCATCAGGGGGTCATTTGTCGGAGGGGGGGGGGGGGGGGGGAGGGGGTCAATTGTTGCGGTACCGTACCATATAAGTATATAGCGTACTATACCTCTCATTTGGAGATTCAGTGCCATGGTTGTCAGCTTTTTATCAACTCCGGCCAATTTCTTGACTGCGCTAATCAACTCGGTTTTATTGACTTTTTGTTTTGGTGCCAAATAAGCAAAATTCCAAATAACTTAAGAACTTAAAAGAAAAATAAAAGAAACCTGCCAATTTATAAATTTAACGCTGCCATAATAAGATTATAGCATTATAATCTATTTGGCATTACATGGATTGATAATTTTATAACAAATCCTGCAAAGTTAATGGAAAACCTGCCGATTTAACTTTATCACTGCCGTAATCTATCCGGCAAGGATTGATAATTTTATAAAAAATCCTGCCAAGTTAATGGAAAACCTGCCGATTTAACTTTATCACTGCCGTAATCCATCCGGAAAGGATTGATAATTTTATAGCAAATCCTGCCAAGTTAATAGAAAACCTTCCAAATAACAAATACCTGCGCTGTTGATGCAGGATCACTAGTTAATTAGGCAGGTTTTGACATAAAAAATTAAGAGAAAACCTGCGGATTTAGTGTAATATACTGCTGATCTGGACAGGGTAAATTAGATTACTAGGCAGGAGTGGTAATTTCGCAGTCTTCGCTATTAACTGGGCAGGTTTTAGGTTAAATTCGCAGTGGCAATGGCTGGAAGGGGCCTCTTATTGTCTCAAAAGGTTGCTCAAATTGCTTCCTGAATCCAACATAATGGGCGAAATACATAACTGCAGAGTTCAAGAACCGTGAAGAAATGAAATATTCAAAACACCATTGTTCTTTAAAGCTAACTACGACAAACATCGCTAAATCAAAAATAAAATAATGAATAAAATTCGAAAAATATTTGTAATGAGTGCAAACAAATTATCGTCTTACCATCAACATCGTAAACGTCGAACAAGAACTTTAGTTTGTCCATGTCAGTTCCCTCCATGAGCATGTTGAGCCCGTCTATCAGTTCCGAGAGACTAATCGTACCGCTCCTGTCTTTATCGAATAGTTTGAAAAACTGCTCCGCAAAAAACAACTGAAATATGTGATTGCATAATTTATTATAAATGTATTATATTTCTGTATTATGTAACGCGATGGAAACGTTTTAAACGGGTAAAATCCAGTCCAAACCATAGCTCCATAACATGCAGGCTGATCGTTTTAATTTATATTGAAAAGCTCTACTGGATAAGATCAGTGGTGACTTTGCAATTTGATCAAATTCAGTGAAAAGTTACTTTAGTTGTAATATCCTTCATATTTTAAATCCTTTTGATTCTTTTGAATATTTTTGCAACTTAAATATAAAAGTTTTTACAAAGTTCCGTGCGGACGGAATATTTTGGGGCCTTCAGCAGAAATCTGGCACTCAACCAAATCTGGCAGCTATTCTAATCAAAGCTAGATTATATTAACATTTCTTCAGAAATAAGCTGTTAAATAAACCTGATAACAATCTTAACAATTAATGAATATTGTTATTATTGGTTATGAGATGAGTTAACAAATGAAGCTGCATAAGTTAATAAGCTCTGCTTCATTTTATTTAGTGTAGTGACTCTTGTTTAAATATATAAGACTTTAACCAGAGACTTAACCAAAGACTATAACTCACTGTCGACGTTCTTCAAAGGAAGCATCTGAGACAGATAATCAACACCTATTGGCCTACGGTTATCAGTAACGAGAACTTATATAAGAGATGTAATGTCAGTCCCCTTACTGAAAGGATCAAGAAAGCACGATGGAAGATGCTTGGGCACGTTCTCAGAAGCGGTGATGACACTCCCGCTTTCTTATCTTTTAGATTTGCATGTTTAGGATGTTTTGACTACAAAGGAAGGAGGGGCAGACCTCGTTCAAATTTATTTGATTTATTATTAAAAGACATTATGACGAAGAATATTATTGTGATTGTAAATAAAAGATTTAGTTTAAGTAATTTCAATGATTTAGTGTACAAAGCTCATGATAGACGCTTATGGAGAAGCTATGGGTGAGTCGAGACTACTCGGCCACTCGATTTTATGATTTATTTCCTATTATCTTGTGTTTGCTGTATATAGTTGATTAATAATAATATAACTCAAAGTAGCAAGTTTATAATGCATATAGGTTTAAATTAGAGTTTGTTTATATAATATACAATTTTTCTGATTGATTTTCAGTCATAGAACTGACTAAGTATAAACTTTATAATTTGCTAATTATTCTGATCACCACGGACGAGATGTTGTGGAGAATGGCTTCAATTAAGTATAACAATAAATTTAGAGTAAGAACACTTGTTTGTTGTTTAGTGATCAAAACTATAAGAGAAACAACTAAAAGAATCCTTATCAGGCATTACCTCTTTGACTTGGAGAACCTCTGTAAAATCGTGTAGACTAATCTGTCGACTCTCGCCTGAAATCCTACTGAACTGCTGCTCTAACCAGGCTAACCACTTCGCATCTTTGTTCATGCTGCAGATCAGGGATATTATTTATGTGCTTTAAAAAATCGTGGAATTATCGTATATCACAAGAAATAACGAGTGAAATTTGAAGTGAAATTTCACTCACCATGTAAGTTTGTCGACACCTCTGACCAGTTCCTCTATGGAGATGTGCCCTCCCTTGTCCATGTCGAACAGGTCAAACAGCTTTAGTAGACACTGGAAATAGAACAATCGTTAAAATTTGTACAACTTAGGTCTTTAGTTTTATATTTAATTATCTAATTTTTGGTATTTACTCCTTTTATGATTTCAGGCACTTTTTTCATCTGGGGGAACCATTGAGCAGCTTAATTAGAAATGATAATGTATGAGAATTGAGAATCAATGCACGAATTGCCTAAGTCCATTTTAAAACTTTGCCAAGCTTATAATCTACCAAATTAGAGTTATCGGGTGCTGATGCAGGGGTAATTTTCAGCATCGAAATAGCCACCCAAATATGGAACATTTCAAATACCAAAAAATAGTGCAGTCAGTAGCCAACAACAGGGTATTTAATCAGTTACCAGCTTAGTGTTACTATAGTTACCATAGTTACTATAGTTAGCAGCCTATTGTTACTATAGTTACCAGCTTATTGGTACTGAGTGACAGCTTGAAGTTGAGAGGAGAATGCAATCTGTTGATTGAGATTGTCACTCTGACTTCTCTTGGCAGAGTTATGTTAAATAAGAGAAGTGTAGAGAAAGGCATAGTAACTCTGCAACACTCTATCACTTTCAACATGTATGGCACCGTTCAATAGGTTCTTAAAATTTTAATCAAATCTCGATGAAAGCAAAAATGTAGCGAAACTTGAGAGGAGACATACAGGAATTTTCCCCACAGCTACCATCCTTCGACAGTCGATACTGCCACATAACTTCAAGTCCACCGTAAAAGTTAAAAATCAAATTAATTTGTTTTGAGAAACAAAGAAAAAACAAAAAAGCAAAGAAAGTAGTCAGAATTATAAACCCTTATTGGGGTAACTCGGACCTGATCATTGTTTATAGCGAGCATAAACTTCTCCTTATCTAGTTCTTCCTCAGAGGAGGCATGTTTTTGGAACCTTTTCTCGAACCATCTAATCGTCTTCTCGTCTGCTTCTCCCCTGAAAATCAAAACTCAGTTACCATAGTTACCATAGTGTAACGTGTTCGTTTGTTTGTTGAAAGTAGTTAGATATCAAATACTCAGTTTAAATATATCATCAACTGACATCATGAACTTACGTTTATGGTAACTATGGAAACTGAACTTACGTTGACAGTTTTTGAAAACCTCCCAATAGCTCCTGGATTGAAACGGAGCCTGAGTCATCTGTGTCGAATAGGAAGAAAACGTACTCGTTAAAATCCTGATAAAGGTAACGTTACATAACATTGTAAGGGTTTGTAAGGAATTATTTGAACTTGTCAATATAGGATCCAGTGGAAATTCAATGCATTCTTATCTCTGATTTATCAGTGCTATTTGCGTACTGAATAGTAATACTGATTCATCATTTTATTTTGACTTAGCTTAAAACATTGTTAATAAATATTGATATGACTTAATAGTTAATATCAACAACCTAATATGGCCATGTTGTCATGGTAACATGACCATACAAGGAGTGTCACGTGACAAACTCACTGGCAAGGATTTGCAGGCCTGGATGAACTTCTGGCGGGAGATTTCATCATTCTTGTTGGCGTACTTGGTGAAGTTATCTTTGAACCACTCCCTTATCTTCGTGTTTCTGTGTTCGCGGTTTTGGCCCCCTGAATCTTGGGTTTTAGGTTTAGAAACCAAATTCTGTGTGCCCTAATACTCTAATATCGAGTTTTACGTATTATCAAATTCCTCCCTATACAGATATTGGGTTTTTAGAATAGAAAACTTCTTTAATCAACATATCATACGGTTCACATTCCATTGAAGTATTGACAATTGGTCCACACTATGAAGTCTGGGCTAACTCTTGCCTCTCAAGTTGATATAATGGCTGTGGAGAACGAAACACGCTGATATTCCTCATTTTATAATTCATTTATTAATTCAGCACATTTCGCAAAGGAATTCTCGAAATAGCGTTCAGGTACCTGTAAGTAAAATCTTGCCCCTGTACAACCTTCCTCCAGGTCGAGGTAGTAGCTGGCTAAGTTTACTCAGCTGAAAGGTACTCGGCTGTGGTGTGAAGAAGAAGAGTATGTTGCCATTTCGGAGGGTTATGACCTCGTTAAACGTCATTAAGTTGTCTGAGAGCGCCAAGTAATGAGGATGACTCACGGCTAACTTACTTTGGAAATTAATGTCACTTATCTTTGTTTAGCGCAATAAAATGAGGTTAAATTATGGAATGTTACTTTTACAGTGTAAGTGTTACAGTGTTACGTTTGAAACTAGATGCATGTGTCAGTGTTGAGTAACATCGTCAGCTGAAAACGATTAACTAGTTATTTGGAAGCTTCTGAAACAAAGAGCCTTTCTTTAAGGACACTTCTCCAGATCACTGTTTCAAACTAAGCAGATGACAAACTTTTGACGCTCGTACTGGGTCTAATACAGTAAAATCCCGATTCCAGATATTACTGTATTACTTGGTCAAATACTTGTTTTTTGTAAATATAAAATGCAAGGTTTGTAAGAATAGTCGACACATAAGATTAGCTGTAGTTTAAAATATAAAGGTAGCCAACCGTCCGTGGCTAATTTTTGCCAAATATCGTATCGAACTATTGCAAAACTAACCGCAATTTTTAAACGCAAAAAACTTTGGTTGTCAAAATATTTCTCAACTCTGGGGTGAATAGTTTTTTTCGGAGGGGATCTGGATTACTTTATATGTGAACGGTCCCTAATACAAAAAGCTAAAAATAGGATAGCCACAAAGGATTTATTTTCAGAATACTTTGTAAGGGTGTGCATGTTTAATATCATTACTGGACTACAGTGCTACAAATTAGTCAACAAAAGGCGGGAACCATACGTTTAAACCATTTATAAAGCCTACACCAGTTATAGCAGGGGACGTCAACCACCGTTTATAGCTGATGAATAAAAACGTTAAAACCACCGAACAAAAGAGAGCTTGTCAGTAGAATGTGAGGGTCCATATTAATCTGTGATATATCAGGCTGCTTCCTCACTACCTACAACCTATAAACTCCTTGCTCGGGATGACTTACAGCTCCTTGTACCAGTCGAATTCATATGATTTAGAGAAACACTGGTCATGTTACCAGTAAAACAGGTCACGTGATAGCAGTCCAGCCAATCAGACCTGTTCGTTTAGATGCACTACAACTTATAAACTTCAATCTGGGCTGATTAATGGAGCTGTTGATGATAAACAGAGCTAGAGGATGGCTCTGATTTAAGTTAAATCACACATGACGTATCATCACTTCACCATAACCTCCTTGAGCGGTTTTATTATTTCGCTCCCCCAAAATGGTCACGTGACTTGCTTTTTTACGGTTTTGCAGCCGAACAAAACGGTTTTAGATAACCCCAACTATAACTCTGAAGCTATAAACCATAACCTTAACCAGAACTCCTACCACAACTATAACTCTGAAGCTATAAACCATAACCTTAACCAGAACTCTAACCCCAACTATAACTCTGAAGCTATAAACCATAACCTTAACCAGAACTCTAACCACAACCATAACTCTGAAGCTATAAACCATAACCTTAACCAGAATTCTAACCACAACCCTAACTCTGAAGCTATAAACCATAACCTTAACCAGAACTATAACCCCAACTATAACTCTGAAGCTATAAACCATAACCTTAACCAGAACTCTAACCACAACCCTAACTCTGAAGCTATAAACCATGACCTTAACCAGAACTATAACCACAACCCTAACTCTGAAGCTATAAACCATAACCTTAACCAGAACTCTAACCACAACCATAACTCTGAAGCTATAAACCATAACCTTAACCAGAACTCTAACCACAACTATAACTCTGAAGCTATAAACCATAACCTTAACCAGAACTCTAACCACAACCATAACTCTGAAGCTATAAACCATAACCTTAACTAGAATTCTAACCACAACCCTAACTCTGAAGCTATAAACCATAACCTTAACCAGAACTATAACCCCAACTATAACTCTGAAGCTATAAACCATAACCTTAACCAGAACTCTAACCACAACCCTAACTCTGAAGCTATAAACCATGACCTTAACCAGAACTCTAACCACAACCCTAACTCTGAAGCTATAAACCATAACCTTAACCAGAACTCTAACCACAACCCTAACTCTGAAGCTATAAACCATAACCTTAACCAGAACTATAACCACAACCATAACTCTGAAGCTATAAAACATGACCTTAACCAAAACTCTAACCACAACCCTAACTCTGAAGCTATAAACCATGACCTTAACCAGAACTCTAACCACAACCCTAAGCCTACACAATCGAATTTGTGTTTCACTATCATATCACATGACCAAAATAGTTGTTTGTCCGGAACTCCTCGGGGAAGCGTTCTTACCGTATGTCCATGTCATGGGGGTGATTCGGAATCAGTGTTTAAAAAACATCAAAAGATGTCACTTTTATACACCTAAATACTTTTCACAATTTTTTTAGATGTGCGCTAGCGATTTAGTAAGAGCGATTCAGTGGGAACGAACTTTGAGATTTGCTTTTAAGTTAAATCACACATGACGTAACTTAGCTTCACCATATTGTTTGAGACCTCTTCACAGAAATCTAAGGTGAAATTAATTGAGATATGCAGGTTTTGAACCACAAATAAGAACAATTAAGGTCAAAAGTACACACAGCGGCTGAGATGAAACTTAATAAGGCCGACTTTTTACTGGAGGAATAACAATCAAATCACTTTAACAGTCTTGAAGATTGTGTAGAATTTACACTATACTTATAGGTATATAACAGCAAGCATGAAACGCTGGTGGGCAGTGATAGAGCAGTAGAACTGCTGAACTAGAAGCCAATACTAAATTAGTTCACCATGATGTTTCTAGATATGAGGTATGGTGTTTAGCAGACCATCAAGGATAAGGGCTGCATTGGAAACTTAAGGAATAACTTGAAAGAACTGATTGAGCGAATATGCAATACTATTATAATGTACCAATTTAGAATTGGCAGTTTTTTAGAAGTTTTCATTAAGTTCTACCAATCAAAATACACGTACAAATCAATCTATTCATTAATCATTACCAGGCCACTTTTGATAAAATTGAACAGTCAAAAATACATTTAGAAAAATATTTTCAAAGTTCGTAGCGTTTCGAGTAGAAATACTGCGAGGCCCTTTATTATTATTATCAGAGACCTCAACCGCCAATTCTAACTCGTTCCACTCTAAGATACTAATATAATACGCCGATACAGTAAGCAAGTGATAGGCCGAAACTTTAATGCATGATACTGTACAGTCGGTTTTCCTGTAATCACAGCAAGTGTGTTCCGGTTCATTTCTACCTCTCGGGTTGATCTGCCTCCTGGCTTGATATTGACTATCCCCAGTTACTTTGTTGTTGGATACAAGATTAAGGACAAGTTGGTTTTTAAGATATTCAAAGGTTGTAACAGGAGTAAGATGCATTTTGAAAGCATGAATCTCCAAACATAGTGTGTTGCAGCGGTAATAAATCATCTCAGCCTCCCTGGGTAGGAATATAAACAGTTGAAGAACGTATGAATAATATTCACACATGATATTCACATAATATAATCAAGCTGAGTAGTGGTTATCCGGTGCTGGTTAGACTGGTGACTGAGTCAGCACTTTAATGAGCCTGCTAAATCACTATCTACTCTCGAATGTTCGAATGTTCCCCGACAATATCTACTCTCGAATGTTCGAATGTTCCCCGACAATATCTACTCTCGAATGTTCGAATGTTCCCCGACAATATCTACTCTCGAATGTTTGAATGTTCCCCGACAATATCTACTCTCGAGACTCGAATGTTCTCCGGACACCGCATCTACATCTTCAGAAATTCGATATCATATTAGCTTTGACCGATAAGAATTACCACAACTTTTATTAATATTGGTTCATTGGTTTTGTGGCTGAATTTTTTTAACAGACTCGTGGAATGGATTTGTGTTACCGCGCGCTTACTTACCCGGGAAAATAGAATAAAACCGTTAAAAACCATTCATTTTAGTAAGGAAATAGATAGAATCTTAATTAATTAACTTATTAATTTAATTGTTATTATAATTACCTGCTCCTCGGATGTCGTTCACAAAATCCTGTTGTAGTTTCTGAAAAAGATTAAGTGTTAATGCTATAGAAATGTAAATCATTGATGTTTTAATTAAAGACAGGACCTTATTATACAAATTACTTTAAAGCCCAAAACGATGAAAGTTATATGCAAGTCCATGCTATCTGGAAATGAGCAACAATCAACAAAATGCTTTCCACAACATAAAGTGCTTTTTTACATAAAGTAGCTCAATCCAGGTATTCACACAAAATGTAGCAAACTTTTAAAAACCACCAAGCTTTAGTAGGTACCATCTCATTGCAGAATGGTAATTAAACGCACGACCATTTCCCCATAAATAGCAATGGAAAACCCAGTTAGATATCTTGATGAAATTCTCTCAAATACTCTTTAATTAACTGATGAAGAACACGACTACCCCTTTCACTTTGCTAGTGAAACTAATGTCCTCAATTATCATTAAAATGGTAAAGTTTGCTGTACCACAGCAGTTTACCTTAACACTATTTGCGATAATGCAAAAAATAGAAATTGCCTTGCACGAGTGCAAGAGGGGAATTAGGTTAAGTTACATAAAACGGGGCTTAATTAGTTGACATATATTTATATAATTATAAGCATTAAGCAATGGAGTAAAGCCCTTACACCTACTGAAGTCAGGAAAAATTATATTTTAAGAAACAACTTCTGGCTGGTTCATGGCAGTGTCTAATAAGCCCAGCCACTAAGGGTAAACTTTAAGGTTAACGTTAGAGTTAGAATCCGTTATAAAGTCCCTAAACCTAACCCGAACGTCTACCCTAAAGCCCCCTCTCATTGGTTGGAAACACTAAACTACCCCTCCTCTACCTTTGACAGAGCTTTCAGCTGAGCTCGCTCTATATCAGTGATCAGAGTAACCAGCCTACAAGACTCCCATCTCCTCTTGTCCTCACTTCCACATAACGCCTTTAAACTGGAGCTCTTCTTCAGGGGAGGTAGCTGAGAGATGGGCTGATCTGTAGTGAGGAGGAGATCGTCTAGGGTGCTGGAGTGGTTGAGGAGGCCTGGGTCAGAGAGTGATGTCGAGGAGGTTCCCTCCATTTAGACGACTCTTGGTGGAGAAAGGGTTGCAATACTACACGGTTATGGGTGAAGTTTGTAAATGGCTACTTAGAATAGCTAGCGAGTTAATGTGTTGGTCAAACTTTCCCATTTGCATTTATCAACGGGTTTAAAATTTGGATGTTTCAAATATTTAAACAGTTTAAAAGAATTCTTTGAATCGATGAGAAAGCTGGACTGATCCTAGTAACAGTATATTTGATTGATTAATTGATTGGTGAGCTTAGTGCTGACCAATCAGAGCACAGTATTCACACCACGTTACACAAGCCAACCAATCAGAGCACAGTATTCTGGACTGATCCTAGTAACAATATTTCTGATCGATTGATAGATTGATTGGGGAGATTTGACGGCGCGTCAGCACTTTTTAAAAATAACAAATTAAATAAAACTTGTGTTATGAATAAAATGGTGTTAGAATTTGATGTTTTACAGTATGTTACTATTATCTGTCAGGGGGGTCCTAGAAGAATATTCAACCATACGTGGGTATTATTATTACAATATATTAGCATGTTATAAGCACGTGTCACGTGGGCTTCGGATTAAAAAAGATAAATAACTTTTAGCATAGGTGCAACACCTTTCTGAAAAGTCTGACAAAGCGTACTATTAAGAAAACACATCTGTCAATATACAGATCTATGATCAGGAACATTTTGTTTGAATTTGGGAAACTGAACTTCCACGGCGACACCCTGACACAGATAGGAGGCAGGTAAATTAAAGAAGGATTATTTTTCGAAGAAAATGGATAGGACGTTCAAATTGTCGTATTGCACCAAAACAATCGTGTTGAAGCTTTAAAGTTTCTGCTAATGAATTCTATCAACAGACAAGACTACATACCTATTACATACCAACTACATACCAACTACATACCAAATGCATACCAGCTACATACCAACCATAAACCTATTACCATCTTATACAATTATAAACTTATTCAAAACATATATTTATTAATAATTATAAAGTATCATCAATAAAACAATCATCAAACATCCTTTGTTTAGGATACCGCCAAGGAAACTTAGTTTTCTGTTCCACGCTGGGCTATGGATTATTATACGATACCAACCAATCAGATCATAACACTACACGGTCAATACTTTCAATGCATGGCCATCCCTTGGCAAAGGTTAACACTACATAACAAGGTAAATGGGTACGCTTTTTTTTAGTTCAAACACTGTAATTTTGCGGTCGACAGCAAAGTTTGAGCAAAAAATGTAAACACATATTCTTAAAACGATCGAAAATTTACCGAATATTTACAATTTTGATAAAATAAATTTGAATATGTTAAAGTTAATATTAGATTAACGAAGATACTTTCCGCCCTAGATAGCTAACTCAATCAAACGATTATAGTGGTGGCAATATTTATTAGAGACAGACGAGGGACTTATTTATGAGACCATGAACCTGTGATAATGTTGTCTGGTCATGTGCAAATACCAACCCAAAATTTGGTCACGTGCTAGTCTAAATTTGGTCACGTGCCAATAGCCGGAACATTGTGTTGAAGTGCACTAATATAATAATGTATCAGTATCTGTGATTTGTACAGTTGGGGCACTTACAACTTTCCTCATACGACATCTTCCCAAGAGGGGAGACCATGATTCATGTACAGTCAACTTAATAGAATCAATGATTTGCTACTTACCAGTGCAGTATTCACGTGTATTTTTCTGTATTTCATGTATTGTGACCAAGGAAAAAATACACATGCACACATAATCATTAGAAATTTACATCAGAAAACTAACTAATAAACAATGTTCGATCCGGATACTACTGACAAGCATTGAATAAAACAACAAACATATATGGTTGAACTTAGAATTTTGAATTTATTTATAAATAAAGCATACGTAATATGCATTGATTATACTGTGGTAAATAAAAGTTTTGTTTTCAATTTAATAGGATTAATGATTTGCAACTTACGAGTATTGAATAAAAACCACAAACATACCCAGCTTTGCTGCATGTTGGGTAAGTTTGGCAGACTCTGCCGGACCCTGCCCGAGTAGAAACCATTCCTACTTCCTGGCCGTCCTTTCAGACTCTGCCAGGCTCTCACACGGCCGCACGTTTCACATACCCTCCGCATGGTGGGAATTGGGCCGAGTCTGTGGCAGATCAACGAGAACAGTCGACTGTTATAGGGCGCAAATTATAGGTTTAAAAAAATGTAAGCTTGATTAATTAGACAAGAGGCCGGTGGAAAATCTACACCGGTGCAATGGAAATGTACTCAACAAGACACTGATAGAGACAAAGAATAAGCGACCAATCTCTTCCATGAGCCCAACGCTGCTTACAGTAACTACTAACTCGCTAACTATCCTATAACAGGACAGTATTCAAACCACGTGACACAAACTAACCAATCAGAGCACAGTATTCACATCACGTGACACAAACCAACCAATCAGAGCACAGTATTAATATCACGTGACTTTTATAAGCTGGATTAATACGCTGATAAGAGGCGTTCCTTGTTTATCCACGTGATAAGATGGCAACAATACTACCATGGCAACCGTTACCAGGGCCATGGCTTCAGTCGCTCATGATCTCTTGGAAACTAATGAGAACCCAAACTTATTCAGATATTGCTTGCCTTGCTCGATATCTATCAGTATCAAAATATAACACACAACCTTCTCGATCAATCTATATCGTTCGTCATTATTTGAGTATTTGCTGACGATTGTCATTTGCTTACTAGTGAATTCAATCATTCACATTAGCTTACATCTTTAAATGATCTAAAATTTACTGTCATGTCTACATCCCTTTATTAGCTGTTCTTTGACTCAAGTTTCCTTACAAGACTGAATTTATGTTTAAAAATATAAAAACATCCCTGCAGCGAAATGCAAAGATAGAAGATACGGAACGATCGAAACACTCTACCGACATCCATGATGAACATCATCGTGATAACCGGATAAAACTTGTACAGCTCTCCTGATTATTGATATACATTATACCTCGTATACTTCCCTTACTTGTTTATAAACTGTAGACAAAGTAAAGGTTACAATTTTTTCTAAAAGTTGATTTTTGAGTAATTTATCGTATACTTTGAAATAAGGATCATAGAAAATAGAAACCCTACATCTTCAAATGAAGCTATAAAGTTTTATCCTCTATCCTCTAGAGGAATAAAAGACCTTGATAGTTGACACATACCTTATTATAGCTTATTGTATGGCTCATTTATCTTAAAATCAGTGGCTCACTTCAACACGAATATTCTAAGCTCCTGCGTTCCTCTATGAAGCTTGAAGCCTGTCAAACGTGAAACGATCAGATAAAATTAAAATGGTCATTGTCAATTTAAAGTGCAGTCTCTCTAAGTACGGCTTAAAACGGGAAGTTCATGAGAAGTCTTCCAACGTGCAGGAATCTGATTTCTCGTATACTTCTTACTGATACTAATTTAGTTTTGTATCACGCTATATGAGTATAATTAAACCTTCACAGGTTCTTGAATCAGAAATCTAAAATTGTGAGGTTTCACACTGGGTACCAACTACCATCAGAGCATACAGGGATTCATTGAAACCTTATTTATTGCCAACTTTTAAGTGAAAATTCTCTGCGCGGTACCGCGAAGGACAATCGGTTGATTGATTATACATGGTTGTGGTTATATCAGTGTTAGCTATTAATCGCCTGGCAGAATGGAACAATCCCGACCCACCTTAAGCGGGAAGCTTAGGTGGGAAGTTTAGGTGGGAAGTTTAGGTGGGAAGTTTAGGTGGGAAGTTTAGGTGGGAAGCTTAGGTGGGACTTTGGATCACATCACTCTTAATTTAGAAGTTTAGGTGATGAGAAGTAGTAGATCAGGAGCAAGAAGTGCTGGAATGGTAGGTTGGATCCACTCAGGAAACTTCCGGATCTGTTCTTTGTCTTCTTGCAGGGGCGTCCGCACTTCCAAATGTAGAGATCTGCTGATTTGGAGGCTGCACAAGGTGAGAGAACCATGGGACTGTTGCAGGCATCACAGTTCTGGGTGGGTTTTAGAATCTGTTTGGTCATCAGGAACGATCTGGAACTGTCTTCGGTTGCTGCTAGGATCATTATCTCAAAGTGAAGTCCAAGTCTAGGTGGTTGGAAAGGCATGTTGATAGATTGTGGTTGCGGGGTAGGATGAAAATGATGATCTTAACGGTATTTATACCATAGTGTGATTTAATGACGGGCGAAGTGAAGTGATTATCACCACAATCTGTCCTTGACAATATTCACGGACCAATCACACGATCCTCTAAGAGTCCCACTTAAACTTCCCACCTAAACGCTCGGACACTGAACTCAGCCATAAAGTGAACTTCTAAGTTAAGAGTGATGTGATCCAAAGTCCCACCTAAACTTCCCACCTAAACTTCCCACCTAAGCTTCCCACTTAAGGTGGGTCGGGATTGTTCCATTCTGCCAATCGCCTTGGAGTATTCCAGCTATCGCCACACGTTTTAAACTTTATGTAAGATTTGTTGAAACTAAGAAAATAAATCATTTAATATTTGGACTCATATTAAGAACAAGAAAGATAAGAGAAGTTTAAGAAACAATCAACAACACTGTAATCAAACATGCATAACCTCATAACCAGCCTCTGCTTTGTATGAAACTTTTGGCTGCGTTAACCTACCAACCACCATGACCTTATAGCAACAGTTATATAATAAAAACATAACTAAAACTATAGCGAATCTGTAGAGAATCATTACATGCGGTAATAGAGCTGGGACCCTCCGCAAGCGCTCTGCAAACCATGTTAATCTGATAAGACTGCAGGATAATCTCCATGATACCACGAGATGCAGAGGGTCGGGGTAGACTGGCATCTGCCACTTTCTTCCATTTACTGTTACCCATGGTTTTGGTGATCCCAATATTCTCAGTTTAACAGGTGAAATTCATGTATCAGAAGGGTTGATGTTGTTGTTAGTCTATCATGTTGTCACTAGATGAGAACCAAACAGAGGGAGAGTTAGTCTTTATAGCATTAAGATTAAAGCTATACCATGGAAACAGTACTACCATGGAAACAATACTACCTTGGCAATAGTCTTTATAACAACATATTGTATTTTTAGGCGATATCTTATACCTGATATTGTTATGTGACAGAGTTTGCCTAGAAAATGAGACGATTATCCTAACCAACAAAGGTTGATATAATTTTAAAGTGTGGCAAAGTTAACAATACCGTGTCTTTTAATAAGGTTATCAATATCCTCAAACTCAAATGAACGTGTCCTTAACAACAGTTATTTTAGAGCAGTCACAAGAATGCGGAATATAAATGTTAAAACTTGGTCAGTACTGCTTTGACCTTTCGTGTACCTGTTCAGATACAAGAAAGGAATCCAAATAAGTTAATTGGCACAGCTATTCTTAGCCCAGGACGAATTAAAGCAAGAATTTCTGTACGACATTTTTGTATCAAAGATGAATTGTATTTGTAAGATATAGAAGATACGGAATGGGACTGCAACGCTCCTAGCAGATACAAATTAGGAAATCAGCACTTTTGCAGCTAAATAAAACTGTAGGTGGTCCCGTTCTTTACAAGAGCTTCTTATGCTAGACGGACAAAAACCTGTCTACTTCACGAAACGCCCTTTAACCTTTTAACTGATGTTTTTAGGCCACATATTTTCATGAAGTCTAGCCTCAGACTTGCCACAAGGATTTGATAGTTAGGGCTTACAAAGAATGTATCCTTGTTTGTGGATCAAGGTTGACGTGAATAGCGAACCCAGTTGTATCCTAAATTAATTATCATTTAGAATGTAAAACCCGCTCTAAAAACATCAGGTAAACACAAGCAGAAACATTTCAACATAGCAGACGGGTCTATAATTTAACAAGAGTATAATGCAGATTCGCAGTCTCACTATGATTACTGTGGTAACTGTGGTAACTGAGGTAAATGTGGTAACTGTGGTAACTGTGGTAACTGTGGTAATTGTGGTAACTGTGGTAACTTCGGTAACTGTGGTAACTGTGGTAACTGTGGTAACTGAGGTAACTGTGGTAATTGTGGTAACTGTGGTAACTGTGGTAACTGTGGTAACTGTGGTAATTGTGGTAACTGTGGTAACTGTGGTAACTGTGGTAACTGTGGTAACTGTGGTAACTGTGGTAACTGTGGTAACTGTGGTAACTGTGGTAACTGTGGTAACTGTGGTAACTGTGGTAACTGTGGTAACTGAGGTAACTGAGGTAACTGTGGTAACTGTGGTAACTATGGCAACTGTGGTATCTCACCATGGTAAGATGATAAGAATTAAGGACTAATTCCGAAAGAGAAGTTCTCTTCTCCCCCTCGATCTAGTAGATTGTTATAATGAAACTGCTTGTTACCAGTCACTAAACGCCTGTATTCCTCCACCATGGATCAGATCTCATATCCGCAACAGATTTGAACGTGGTCCCAAGACAATGGCATGCAAGTGCTGCTGACGACCATTTGGTCAAGCTTAAACCGGTTAGGCTGCTTTTTGCAGGTTCATGTCGAGACCAGCCAGTTACCAAGGGAAGCCATAGACCGTACTTTTAGCTTGTCTTCAGATGAAAAGACTAACAAGCGATGTAGGTAGATAATCAATTCCCGACGGGTTTCAGTCAACTTTGGAACAAGTTTATTGTATCGACCAGCTGCGGATAATGCAAACTGTTGGCTCTAATTTTAACATTTCAAAAATCTCACGATAGTGGCTTGGCAAAACATTTGTCCAAAACATATTTGTCCACAGCTCAAAGAAGGCTAAAAAATGGTAGAAGTTTCCGACCAAAATCATCGTTTATTATAGTTGCTAGACACATTACGTTGAGAACTGAAATAACGACCCTCCATTTCCTACCCTCAACAATTAACTCATAATAATCTCACAATTATTACTTACTATACTCTGTTACTCTTCAAATGATAAATTATTCTCAAGTTGATGAAAGTAGGACGTACTCATAAAATACAGAAAGACCAAATAAAGTAAGAACGAGTCGTGTCTTTATTTTGTTTGTCACTTAATAATAACTAAATAATGACTAAACAATAACTAAATGATAATTATACAATAACTAAATAATAAATTAATGATAAATTCCTAACGACCAGTAGCATAACAACGTAAGTAAAAGTTTCTGGCAAACCGATAAAAAACAGACAGTTTAACAATAAGCCAAGCTAGGCGTGTCCTCGTTTTTTCGTGTGAAGTAAAAACGATTTATTAATTAATCGGACAAGTCAGAAGTTAAACAGGGGCCTCGTCATTAGGAAAGATGCTCTTACAGCTGTAATGAACGCAATTTGACACAAACTACAGTTGACTAAAATAGAACTTGAAAACAGGTATTGTGGAGCAGCAGCTGGTGGTGGTAAAGGTATTGTGCTAGGTTCTGGGCGGGGTCACTGCTGGGGAGAGTGTAGCATTTCATCTTCACCTCTGTAATATCCGTGTGGCTTTCAGTTTTACCAGCTGATTTGTTTGCTGATTTCTTTTTTGCCATGCGTAAATAACAGTGTCTCTCAGATTTCTGCAGTAGACTAAATTGTTTGCTGATCGCAAAAACTAATTTTTGCCTGATCCCCGCACACCAGCTGACTAAGCTTACCAAAAATTTTCCCATAATTTAAATTGGTGCAGACGAGTTAATCGTCAATTATTGATATCATGATGCAGTAGAACATTCTAAACCAGTCACGCGTGACGGAGGCAGACATTTGCTGTTCTTGCAATTACTTTGTAGATAAACGGCGCTTGCTGCGTACTGGCGAGATGAAACGACCGGTTAAAAATTAGCCACAAAGAATTGTTCGTCAGCGTTTAAGTGAGACATGGACATTCTCCAAAAAGGGGGATGGATGAGCGGTGATTATGATGTTAATCGCATTAGATCTAGAAGCTTGTTTTAATTCCAAAGTCGTGATCGTAGAAAAGAATAACGGTTTGATCTAGCACGATCCAGTTTGTCAATGGATGAATTAATTTGATCCACGATACCATTACAGGCCCTATTAATTCAACTGCTTCCAAGATTGGAATATCTTCCGTAAACGACAACTCTAAGTGTATAAGGCTATTTTCATTGTATATACTGTTAAAGCTTTAAAACTCACCTAACACAAATTTAAACGGGGGGAAAACGTAAGACGAGAAATTGAAAGTGCAATGGGCTATATAAATAATAAATCCTAACTACACTTCACAAAAAGAAGACGGTATTATTTTTACAAAAGAATCAGATCGTAAAACTCTCACCGGGCAGTAGTCGAGCTGAATGGTTGGAAGGAACAAGGAGCATGCTTTATCAGGAGGAAGCAAGGAACATGCCTCTTCTGGAGGAGACAATCTTGAGTACTCCATCTCCTCTGGTTAGACTGACAATTAAGACCAACAAGTTCCTTCAAAGTATTATAGGTTTTAAGGTTCAGAAGGAGACAGAATGGTAATAATAGATAGGAGGGGCTGTCAATGTTTTAGTAGTAATGGTGCTGGTTTCTTCCGATAGAGACGACCTCAACAAATTACTATACTGATATAGTGATGGGAAGGAGAAGATAAGGAAAAGATAAACGATGGTTTAAAACTCTCAATAAACATTAAACACGATACAATTATCTATCTCTAATGTACCCGCGTCTGGGCCGAAATGTACAACTCATTGAGCAAAAGAGAATATATTAACGGACATGAAATACCAGTGCTAATACTATGAAAATATTATACACAGCCCATATAACGTGATCACTGATCAAATTAAAATAAATAAAATAACAAACACAAACAATTCTGCGACCAATAAGGTCTACAGCAGTTTAGTAAAAACAACCCCGCGTCCATTAAACAGTTTAATAGTCTACTGATATCTCTTTTATATGGTTCAGTTGTGTATATAACCATATAAGGTAATGTTACCATCGTAATACTACCATATATGGTACTAAAAACTATTTTATATTGTTCACGTTCGGAACCCAATTTAGAGACTCATTAAATGCCACAAAAACAGGGAAATGGTTGTTTGGTCCACTATCAAAGAGTACTCCTTACTGATAATCTTTCATATAGAATTGAAACCAGGAAGGGCTTATTGTTATAGCTTTTAAATAATATGATTAATATAATTGATAACTGTTAACTAGGCGGAAAAGAAGGAAGGACAGTTTACTTTTTACAGTCCTTGTTCTTTCTCCTTGTCTTGTTTGTCCACAGAACGTATGTGCGGCAAATAGTTTAACCGTAACGAAAAAGTTTAACCAAACTTCCATCGAATTTTAAGTTTTAACTGGTAAGTGCAGAGGCAGCATTTAACTTTAAGTGCGATGGCTAATGGGTTGGCCCAACACTGCATTTTTCGCACCATCGGCCGCTATTCGTTCTATTAGGTTTGTGTACTTGTTACCGCTGTGTATAATGAAATAAGATCGACATACCCACCACTACTTTGGTTAGGGTCAAACGTTTTTCACAACATTGGATGCAGTGAGAATTACGTTTGGAAGTCAGGGAAAACAAAAAATATTCCCAGAAAGTTCATTATTCCAGATAGCAGGTTGATGATTCAGTGACTTTCAATATTATCGATATTAATTGATAAAAGAACAAAAGAGAGTGAATTTTGGCAAATGAATAACTCGTCGAGCTGGATCATAATCCGTTGATCATTATCCATGTCCCTCAATAGATCGAAATTTAGTCACTTTAGTCGATCGCGATTAGATATATTATAGTTATAGTTAGATGATTAAAAAGAATTTTACCTTACACTCTTATACACACAATGTGTTGGAATTTAATGTTTTAAAATTACAATATTGAGTACTTTGCCTTAATTATACTCACTGCCAGCTCAACTAGCCCGATCATCCTGTCCATATAATCACAAAAACTTCTATGATGATAATTCCTATAGATTTATACATTTTG